TTCCTTTTTTCTTTTTTCTTATTTTTAAATTATTTTTTTGAGACAGGATCTCACTATGCAATTCAGGCTGGCTTTGAGCTCACTTTGTAGCCCAGGCTGGTTTCGAACTTGCAGCTATCCTCCCAAGGCAGCCTTCCCGGTGCTGGGATTCCAGGCATGCGCCATCATGTCCGGCTTTGACTTTTAAAAAAGGTCAGTTACTGTTTGCAAATTTGGGAAATGCTAACTCTACCAGACCTTATAAAATGCATTGGTAATATAGCTTCTTGGTTATATAAACTAAATTAAAAGTGAGTCTTATGAGATTAGGATAAGGTTTTTATTTTATTTTATTTTATTTTTTTACGGTTTATTGAAAGCAAGTGTTTTTTGTTTTAATTTTTTCCATAATTTTATTGAGAAACAAATAGCAATGAGACAGTTTCAAATCAAATTGGAAGGTTTTTATTTTATGATGTGTTTATTTCAAAAATATTCTATAGCTTCTTAGCACCATTTGTTCGAATAGTGATTATTTCTCTCCACAAGTGAGCTTTGTTTTATTCTTCAAGGAAGCTGTTGGGTATCATTCAGTTGATTTCTGCATGTTTCTTCAACCTTAGAAATAAAAATAAAACAATTTTAATTGGGAGTCTAAGACAACGTATCATTCCTTATATCTATCATTGGTCAGACTAGAATTTAATATATGACCAGAAGGAAGGAAACATTTTGGAAGATGTTATGATTTGAAGAATTAAATTTCAATTGCATAAGTAGCTGTTACTTTATTGACTCTGTACAGATATTTGGTCACAGTGCCAAAAGTTTAGGACCTGGCTTGCTTGGGAAATGACATCTTTCCTTGCTCTTCAGGCTGGGGAGAACGCTTACCCTTAGAATTATCTGCTCACACACCATCTGGGTTTTACCTGTATACTAAAGATTCTGAAGACAGCTGGGTGCACAAGAATAGTAGCCTCAATTGAATCTATTGATAGATGGGGTATTAAACCCTAATTCCAAAGTTTTGAAAACTATAGAATGTTTTCAAAGTAAATACAGTGTCTGTGGTAACAAAATAACCTATGCACTCCCATGCTTTTCCCCTTCTGTTCATGTGTTCTACTGGCAACTCAAAAAAAGAAGGGGCTGGGGGCTGGGGGCTGGGGGCTGGGGGCTGGGGACTGGGGAGATAGCTCTGCAGTCTAAGTGCCTGCCTGGCACTTAGCTCAAGGACCTGAGTTCAATCTTGGGTACCACATGCCTTGCTGTCCCAAAACTGGGCATGGTGGCGAAACTGGACATGGTGGCACATGCTTGTAATCCTAGGTGGGAAGGTTGAGACAGGAGGATCACTAGGAGTCTGAGCTGAGTTTCGTAGCAAGGCCCTGTATCAAATAAAAGAGAATTTTTTTAAAAGATGGGTCTGAGGAATTTTTCAGGGGTAAGATTTCTATTTTATTGATCATATGTAAAATGCATCTTTTTTAAAAATTTGGTATAGAGTCAGCTCAGACTTGTAGTGATCCTCCTGTTTTCAGCCTCCCCAGCATTGGAATTACAAGCATGAGCCACCACACCCAGTCTGGGGAGGGGAAGCATGTGGTGCCAGGGATGGAAGCCTGGTCCCTGAGCTTGCCTAAGCAGGAGCTTAGTCTGCTGAGCTATCTCACTGGCCCTTGTAGAATACATCTTGAGCGGCCATTTCATAAATGTTTTGTGACTTAATATTAAACTAGCAAAAGACATTTCTTTTTTTGGTGGAACCAGGGATTGAACTCAGGCCCTTGTGTTTGCCAGGTAAGTGCTTATTCTACTGAGCCATCTCCCAGGCCCAAGACACATTTTAAAAAATAACATGATAGACTTTTTGTATATCAGAGCCATTTGGTACATAATCACATGAGAAACGTAACCTCTGCTGGCATGATTAGATTACCTTGAGGGCTATAAGAAAGTTAAAAATCTCTATCTAGATGGGACTTGTGGATTTATGTATGTATGAATGCAGATGTGACTGTTGATAGGGACAGAACTACAAGATGTTTCTCCATGATCAAAAGAAGATTAATTCTATCAGGGTCCAATTTTAGCCATATTTTTATTTATTTATTTATTTATTTTGGCAGAACCAGGGACTGAACTCAGGCCCTTCTACTAAGCTGTCTCCCTGGCCCCAAGCCATATTTTAAAAAATGTATTTATTGGGCTGGGGAGATGGCTTAGTGGAATAAGTGCTTCTCTGGCAAGCACAAGGGCCTGAGTTCAATCCCTGGTTCCGAAAAAAAAAAATGTATTTATTAGTACATATTTGCTATACGTAAGGACTACTTTCATTGTGGGTGTTGGATACATGTCTGTGACACATCTTAATTTTTTTTAGGTATCCTTTCTTTCTCCTTTAGTTATATTTTAAAGTGTTTTCAAGTCCAGTATTTTAGCTTTATCGTTTGTCTATAGTCGCTCATTTTCTGCAAAATCAACTGGATATTTGTTGTTTTACTTATGAGAAGCTGAATGTTTCTGGTTGTTTTTTTTTTTTTTTTTTTTTTGAAATTCTGTAGATATGATAGAAAATAGTAGAGATGGTTATTTTTTGTTGTTGTTTTGTTTATTTGTTTTTTGGTATTAGGAATTAAATTCAGGACTTTGCACTTGCCAAGCAGGCACTGTGCCACTGGGGTACATCTTGACCCCTAAGATGGTTCATCCTTTCTTTTGTTTGTTCATTCATTCATTCATTCATTCACTCATTTGTTTGTTCATTCTCATCTTTATTTTTTTAGAATGGAAAGAAAACTGCTGGGCTTGGTGGTGCATGCCTAGAATCCTAGCACTTGGGAGGCTGGGGCAGGAGGCTCATTGCCAAGTTCAAGACCAGCCAGGGCTACAAAAGGGAAAACTGCAGCTATTCCCTCTGCCCATCCCCTGGTATGCCTAGAGTTTCCCTCCCAGGAGTCTGCACCAGGATCCTGAGTTCTCTTCCTGGCATAACTTCTGAGAGCAGAAAAGAAGGTTATCTTTCTGAGTAGGCAAGGAGGTAGACTGCATATGTTAGAATTGTATTCACTGAGTCTGTACACTTTCTTTCTTTTCATTTGGAATATTCTGAGACAGTGTTATTTATAATACCTTCATAGAAGCTGGAAAACTATTAAAATTTATTAAAATTAGTAAATGGCATTCACTAAGCAATAATTCAGGAAATTACACATAATGAGCATCTCGAGGGTAATATTTATTTATAGGGTGCTTCCTTTTGGTAGATTTAACCAACACTTTTTTATTTTTTTTTTGGTGGAGCTGAATAAGCCAGGTAAGTGCTTATTCTACTGAGCTATCTCCCTGCGCCCCCCATGCTTATCTTTAAGATCAATATTGGATTCTATGACAGAGAGAGTTAAGTGAAGGTTGCTTTTTACATTTTTTTTTTTTAATTTTTTGAAACAGGATTTTTTCTATGTAGTTCAGGCCGGTTTTGAATTTACTTTGTTCTCCAGGCTGGTCTTGAACTGGAGCTCAAACTTGCACTAATCCTCCTACCTCAGCTTCTAGAGTGCTGGGATTACAGGTGTGTGCCACCACACCAGGCCTATTTTCTACATACTTGGACTTTTCTCAAAAATAGTGGTTCTCCAACTTGACTGTCCATGGAGTCATCGGAGGAACTGTAAAGAATACCAGTGCTAATAACGGAACTTAGAAAAAATGGGGTATACCGATGAATGTCCATTTTGTATCTGTGTATTCAAAGTGGTTAGGATAGATATATAGTTGCATTCTCTTAATGAATAGAATGATTTGTTCTAATGGTGTTTGTAAATAGGATCACAAGTCTGCATCTTGTACAGCAATTAACCACTAAGAAGAATATATGCAGTGTATTATTTGTTGAAACTGTACTTCCGATTTGATTTGAAACAGTCTCATTGCTATCTGTTTATCAATAAAACTTTGGAAAAAAAAAGAATACCAGTGCTACCCCCATACATTTTTATTATATAATAGGCCTTTTTTTTTTTAAAGTTTCCTCCATCTTTTTAAATTTTATTTATTTATTTATTTATTTATTTGCGATAAGTTCTCATTTTGCATCTCAGGCTGGCCTTGAACCTTTATGTAGCCCAGGCTGGCTTCAGAC